TGACGCTTGATTTGAAAGTGCCTCGGATTTTTTAGCCTCTTTCTGGAAGGTGCCTGGTACTGTGGGAGATACTGGAAATAGTAAATATTGATTATTTTGAAGAGAAAATCCAGGCAGTGCTGCGTGACCTGCGTGGGGGAGTTAATCTGTAGGCAGTTGTTCGGAATAAAGGACTGTAGCTTTCTGAAGGGAGTTTTTAAATTTTAATCTAAAAAAAACCCCAAATGTTAGAAGCAGCCTGAGCCTGACTTTGAGCAGGCTTAACTCTTTTAACTTGTAAACACCTTCCGGCAGCTCAGTCTTCGGCATGGAGTCTGCTCCCTTCTGTGCGCAGCCTTTCCCTTTGCCCTACTAACACCAGTTTATACCACCAAGCTGGAAATTTTGCATATGCTTATGCGAAGCAGGCACTCGAACGTTTCACGATGCCGCTTGCAGCACTGCCTGCCTCAGCAGGATCCAAAGACACACCCACCCACCCAACTCCTCAGCATCCTTCCCGAGCGGGCGGGCAGCGTTTTGTAACTACTTCTGCTGAGTATGCAGTGATGATGGTGGTTGCTACAAAGCAGTTGGTGGCTTATTCTTGGGCTATCTGTTTATACATGTAACCCATTTACTGCCATCGTTATCACCTCAGATTGCAGCAAATTACAGCCTTGGGTATGGTAGTGCAGGTGCAGGCTGGCTTTTTTAGTCGTTATTCAGTGCTGCTCCCCGCTGTCACCTCCAACCCCATGACTGTCATAGGAGCTGATGACCCTTAATTTACTATCCCTGTTGCTATTTTCTTTTTCTTCCTCTCCTTAAACTCCCAGGAGCAGCTGGGTAGATGCAGTTCCCCTTGGCACGGATTCTAGGCTGCGGAAAGAGCTAGAAGTGTCGAGGGTAGTGCAGAAGACCCCTGGCTTTGACCTTCACCTGCCAGTAGTTAGCTCAGTGCACACATGTGGGTTTCTGCTTCGGCTCCAACCCTTATGTTCCCTGCTCCCTGTTGTGACCCTGTGCTCCAGCCCCTAGGAATTAGAGGTATTTTCTGTTCTACCCTCATACCCCTGAGCCTCAGCGACACCTTTCGATAACACCTTAGTGGGAGCTTCTCCTGGGTGAAGCAGAAGAGAAAGAGGAACCTTGTAGTGGACCTCGCTCAGACAGACCCAAGTTAAAGCTCCCTTGCCTCCAGTAATTCCTGTTAAAAGTGCTCAGATACTGCCTCGTGGAGACCTACCCCTGCAATTAACACCAGCAATTATTTGGTTCGCAGCAGAGCTTCTACTGTCAAAGCTGATGAGCTTTGCCTCATCCATGATGGTTCCTGTACTTTTGACCGTAGTTTTTTCTGACACTTTATTGCTGTAGCCGAGGAGAATCCAAACTGCAGAAAACCAGATGTTTTTAATGAGGACTCTGCAAGTGGCTTTATGATTTCCTGGTGTCATAGCTTGAGGGGCAGGAGGTACCGATGATGGGAGTGTAGTGCTGGCAGGACGTATGGCCATCGACTGACTCGACTCCAGGAGCTGCACCAGTAAAGAATTGGGGCTTCCCTTTTTGCCAGTGCGAAGAGGAAGAAAACAGGACGATTTTGTTGCGAGCCCCAAGTTTTCAGGGATGTTCTGATACATGTAGTGTTGTCATTTGTCTGGTGATACGCTAACAGCAAGCAATGGAAACCATTTGTGGGATTTTTTTTCCATCCTCATCTTCATTTGTCATCATTCTCCCACCAAAAAAAAAGTGACTGAATTACCTGTGGAAAGTGATCTGTGTTGTCCGTGTTTCCAGTCTTCGAAATGCTTGTTGGGAGGCTCTTGTAGAGTGCAGGAGCAGGTTGAATCTGTTCCTGATGACAGGGCAGAGAACCTGCCTTGCTCAGAGGGAGCTGTCACCTGCGAGTCCTGGGGCCTAACAGATGGTCAGGAGGTGACAAGTTACTCTCCAAATTCCTCACCATGCTCTAGAAGCCCTTGGTGACAGACCTGCAGAATGAGGGTCTGCATCTGCAAGCCTGGGTTCCATTACCTGCTCAGACGTGGCGCAAAGAGCAGCTTTTGTGGTCAGAAGCCTGGTCAACCCTTGCAGGGCAGCGCCTGAGCTCTCGCCCTGATGGCACGTCGCTGTGCTCGGGCCCCCGAGTTTTGCTCAAGTGTTGTTTTTTGGCAGGATCAGCAGCTCCTCGCTGTACTTAGGAGACGGGATTTGGCTGCCCTGACAAGGAGTGAGGCATAGGTGCTGCTGTTGTTTGGGAACCTTGCCATAAAGCCTACGTCCTTCAGCCCAGGAAGGGTAACTACGTTTTTGAGGTGTTATCAAAAGAGGTATAGCCTGCCCGAGGGCAAGGGAGCCAGAGCTGATCCAGTCAGCTCCTCGATTGGGAACTTGACGGACTTGAAGAGCGTTTGGTCTCCCCACCGACCACGTTGCTACGTAGCACTTCTCAGCTTCAGAGCCGTATAGCAGGGAAATCCTGCAGGCAAATTCTGTTCAGATGAACTAGGGCTTGAAGGGAACACATCAGAGACCAGCGTCCTGCCCTGGTCAGACAGCTTTTTCACAGCACCCAGTGCCCTGTTTCCACCAGCGTTTGGCAAGCACGCTCTGCTCCGCTCCGGGGAGCAGTGCAAGATGAGGGCAGCTGGTGATGCTCTGTCGTGTGGGCATCCCTGGAAAACCCCACCTTTACCTGCCTCAAGTCTGAAATGCCTTCGTCACTTACTGTCAAGCCTGTGCTTGGCCCTCAGTCACCCAGTGTCACCCAGCTTCAGGAGCACGCCCTTTTTGTGGCATGTGCTAGCAGTATGCTCAGCATGGCAAGACCTTCTCAGCACATTGGCCTAAACTTGGGCCAGGCAGGCAGTGAAGGAGGAATTAATTTCTCAAGGTTATTAACTTTTGGGTTGTTTGGGTTTTTTTTGTTTGGGTTTTGGGTGGTTTTTTTTTTTTTTTTTTAAGGGCACATTGTGTCTATGATAGAGCCTCATAGGATTTGCGTGATCACGGTCCAAGGCAGTTTGGCGCCCAGCCATCGCCAGAGCTGGCCAGACGTCCCCAGGTAGAGGTGACCCTGCTCGCAGGTCCCCGTCCTGCCCTCCCTGCAGCCCCAGCCTGCTCTTTAGGAGCGTCAACATGTTGCCTGTGCCGGCTCTGCCTGCCCTGCGGAGCCATCAAAGGTTACCTCCTTCAAAGGTACCCCTCTGCTTCAGGTAGGGGGCTAGGAAGCCCCACCACGAGTGCCTCAGAAGACGCTTCATAACTCGGCAGAAGCAGGAAATGCTTCTGCACAGAAGCACGGGCTCCGTCTGTCAGTGAGAGAACGCACCACAGGAGAGCAGCATTGCAAAGCATCCCTGTGTAGCAGCCAGTTCTTCCCTCTGCTTGTCCTCCCTCCTCCTCCCCGGACGAGGAGCTGGAAGAGGCCAGGATACCAGCCAAATACTCTTCGGTGTTTCATACAGCCGAGGTGGCTTTGTGCAGCTTGGTGTTGAGACGGCCTCCGTTGTCTGTCGCCGGGAGTATTTGGGAATCGTCTTGGCTTGTTTTTGTTCCCTTGTGTCCTCTCCTTTCTTCTCCCCGCCCTCACCTCACGTCCTGAGCCAGCTGTAAGTAGCTGTGAGCATGGTAGCTAAGGATCCTTGCTAGGAAAGCTTGGGCCCTGCTTCATCAGCTGCCAAGTGCTTGTTCAAGGCCGTTGATAAAGCAGGAGGTGGGAGCCGTATCCTGGCTCTAAGCAGGGGCGTACTCAAACGCTGAAAGAAGAGACCAAAAGGAACAGGCTGGAGCTGTCGGGTCACCCTGAAGCTAAGGGCGAGCAGGAGCTGCCTCCCGCACGTCTCTGTGCTGATGTTGGCCAAAGCCAGCGGTGGTCTGTGTGCGGAGGCTTCCCAAGACCAGACCTCTAATGAGACCAACAATTGAAACCCGCCCAGGTTTGATTGGCATCCCGATGCTGATTTGTTCTCTTATTGGCTTTCACAGGGGAACTCACAAAATACTTTTTGAGTGAGTTTGACCCTGAGCTTGCTGCCTTGACCTGCTTTTCACTTCCTACAGATGGAGATGCTTGTTCTCCTGGGCATGTCATGGATGTTTTCCAGGGTAACGCAGAGCCTTCTGAAAGGCAGGTTTGGGTGCTGCTTGCATTATTCCTGACCCTAGTGCTTTGTTACCTGGCCCGAGAAACCTGCCGTCTGCCTCCCCGATAACACGTTGCCGTTTGTTCTGCAGAAATCAAGGAGGTGGAAAAGCAAACGAGAAGGGACAGATTCCAACAACCGACCCATCAAAGCCGCTGGGAAAGTTATTATCCAAGATATTTCCTGCTTGCTGCCTGTCCACAAGCTGCTGGGAGAGCTCTACATGTGAGTGTGAGCAACAAGTCGAGCAGCCGGCTGTGGTGTTGCTGTGCTTTAATCCTGAAATCAGTCAGCCCTGGTCTTTGAACGTTTCCTTACCTTCTTCCTCCGTTCCTGCCTTGCCGCTTTTTTACAGTATCCCTCTCTGCCTCTGAGAGGGGGACTCGTCTCCTAGAAATCTGGAAAGTGTGGTGGAAGAAATTTGTCACGGGGTGTCGTACACGGACCTTGAACCAGTGCTCCAGCATTGTCACTGCAGGTTCAGGTTTTCATCAGCTAAAGAGAAAATTACCAGTAAAATACTTTTTAAAATCTCATGTTAAGCTCCTCCCTTAAATGCATAGGCTTGAAAATCCTGAAAAACACACGTTCTCGTACTATGAAACTGTTATTAGCTCATAAAGTTTTTTAGTTTCAGAAGTGTTTGGAGGGCTTCATTCTCTTGGAGACTCAGTTGTACATGCCAGTGCCTCTGCAGCGAGTTCTTGTGCTTTAATGGAAAGGATGGAGAAGTTCTGTTTGGTTTGGAGTTGTTTTTTGTTTGTTTTTTTTTATTATTTTAAATGGTGAGCTTCCTTTTCCAAACTGTGGGATCCTGCCCGCGCCAGCAGGCTCATATTGATCAGAAAGTTCTGGGCTGCTCAGTGCTCCCAGCACCAGTTTAACCCTCCCCATCCCTCCCATCTCTGTAGGTTACGCATCAGCCAGTGCTGAGCTGTCTCCTTTCTTTTTTAGATTGAATGTGAATAATATCCAGGAGACTTGCCAGAAGAACGCTGCCTCCGCTCTGGCCGTGGGACGGAGGGATCTCGTACAGGTACGGTGTCAGATCAGGCCTCTTCCTCCGGGTGCTGTGC